TACAGGTTACAGGTACCCCAAAGATGAAGGCATATGAAATTATGATATCAAAGTTGTCAAAGGTAGATGAAGACAGCGTCCAAGGGTAACACCATCAATGGCACCACAAATAGTATCAGAATAAATATAGATGAGATTAAACAGTGTGGACTGTGGAGCATCCTAAGTAAATCCTGATGGCAACTACATAAGGTGTTCCAAACGCAATAAGAGCAGAATCCTGATGTAAAAATGCAGTACATAAGAACTCATCAATGAGTGCACATGTTGCATTTGCAGGGCATTTATCAAAATAAATTCTAGAACACAATATTTAGTAACTTATTCAACACTAAAAGTAAATACAGGTAATCTGTAGCAACAAATCCAGGTAAGTGCGAGTAACTTGTAGTGTAAAGAATTTCTCTATGACAGCAATTCCAATAAATTGAGAATAAAATAATTTTAATGCACTTGCAGAGATAAAAGAAAGTTAGTGCACAAAATGGAATTATCTCACCTTGAATCAATAGCACGCTGCAGTCCCACAGATTAAGAACACCTGCAAGAAGGGCGCGATCTCCTCACTTGTGCAGCAACTGCTCCTAGTATTGAATTGATTATGCCGTTGTAATTCAATCCAATCCCATTGAACTAACACAGAGAATAAGGACATGGTTGAGATGATGGCCCAAGAACATCAAGAACAGGGGAATAGAATTACAAAATAGTTCCAAGAACTAAATTCTTCACTGGCTAGATGTGAGCAGCAGGACCACAGGGCAGCGAGAGGCCTTGGCTGATGGTATATCACTTTTATATTGACGTGGTGAGGTGCTGGCCATCTTAGCGCAGAATTGCGGTGGCGGCGACGACGTCTGTATAACGATAGAGATGGGATCTGTAAAGGAAAAAGGAGGAAAAAAGGAAAAGATACCTTGTGCTCATTTTATCGAACACATTCACTTCAACTTCATGGAAGTGTAGACGCCGGCACTCAGCCCGATATCCGATGGCAACGTCGAGCACATGGGAGCAGGAGGCATGGAGGCTGCAGATGCCCCGCCTGAGCCGGCACTATTTCCCATCGCCACAGCGGGATCCATACGGACTGGTGTCGCAAGCGGTGAGCACCGGGATGGAGATAGCATGGGTGCGGCGGCGACCGCAGGCAACCGCTTTTCGACGCGGCGTCGCGTAGGCCTGCAATCTGTCGCGGTTGAGGTCGAGAAAGGACGCCTCCGCGTTCACGCACCGCCGCAGGCCCTGCTGGGACCACGCGCCGGGGTGTCGAGCTCGCCTGCGCTAGGTCAAGCCTGCGAACGAGGGACGCCGGGCTTGCCCGCGCTAGGTCAAGCCTAGAATGCTGCCGGCGCTGTCGACACCGGGGACGCCCGTTCGCACGCTCGCTCACCAAGCGGCCGTCCGGCTATGGCAGCGCGAGGCGCCCTCTGCCATCGGCGCGGCGGCGAGGTGGCCCCGAGGCTGGCGTTTTCTCGGCCGAAGGGAGCCAGTGGGCTGGCCACGGGCACGCGCGACGCGGCTGCGCTGGTCGCGAGGCGACTGAAAGGCGTTTCGGATAATTGATCAACCTATTGTCACGAGTGATGATACGAGCTAGGTCGGTGGGAGGAGTATGGTGGCACTCAAACAGTGACGTTGATCATATGAAATGATGAAATGGTCAACTTAAAAGAAAAAAAAGAAGAGAAAAATAAAACTATATGAAGATCAAGGTAAGGGTATAATTAGGGATTTTGTTTTATTGATCAAGACACTATAGATAGTGTGATCATATTTAGAATAGATTGTCGTACTATTAAGAGAGGTTCTTAACTAGACAATTCGGTCATCAAGTGCATTTGGATGTTGGACTTTATGCATTGTATTTAAGCCTAGTGCACATCGAAGAGCAAGCGAAAATATTTATCGAAAATATTTTGAGAAATGGTAACTTCGCTCTAATATACGGGGAGTAGCTCGAGTTGACATGGATCGAAACACGACAAAGTTTGCAACTCGGAGAGCTAGTGGTGTTGCCTAAGGTGGCACCGCCACCCCTTGTCCGATGCACCGTCACCCTTGTGGCGGTGCCCATCGGGACCTGACAGAGAAGGGCCATTGTGGGGTGGTCACGGGACATGGCGGTGCACTGTCACTTCTTGTTCGGTGCCACCGCCCTGTTTCATCAGAGGGCAGCAAGTTAGATTTATAGCCGAGGGGGGCACCGCCATGGTCACCGCCCTAATTATACAGAGGGGTGTTATTGGGGGCTCGGCCAGGGTGGCACCGCCACCCCCCTGTCCGGTGCCACCGTCGTCCTTGTCCGGTGACCAACTAGCCATTGGTCGATCGTTGGAATTCGGACGTTGGGGGCACCGTCACCCCCTGTCCGGTGACCGCACCGCCCTGTCCGGTGCCCTTGCAGAAAGCAGCTCCAAAGGGTAACGACTCTATTTGCTTGTGTGGCTATAAATAGAGTTGGCATATGCACACCCTTTGGAAGATAAGCAACATATTCCGCTCACTTGTTCATTTGATTTCATCATCTTGAGTGAGATTGGAGAGCCTCTAGTGCATTGCATTGAGTTGTATCATCTTGTGGCACTAGTTGGATGATTTGGGTTGGTTGTGAGCTTGTTACTTTTGGTGTTTGCCGACACCTAGACGGCCCGGTGATTGGAGGATCGTTGAGCGGAGTTGGTGATTATCTCCGGCCTTGATCGGTTTTGTGAGGGGTCTTGTGCCTTCCCTGACGGAGCACCAAAGACAACTTTAGTAAATTACTCGTGTCATTGAGCTACCTCACTTATGTATAGATTCTTGCGGCGCCTCTTGTGGTGGGCTAGGTGTGTGACACATATTAGCCGCCGAACCACCAAGTGTTGGTTGACACAGCGGGGGCTAGCGTTTCGACAAGCACATGAACCTCGGGAGAAAAATCTTGTGTCTCTTGTGTGATTGGATTTCTCCCGGTGATTGAATTGTCTTCATCTTGTAATTGGTTCATTCTCTCGACGCGGCGGTATAATCAACATACTCACTCTTTTACATTCCTTGCAAACTAGTTATCAAGCTCTTTAGTATAATTAGTTTTGAGAACTTGTCTTGCTTGCTAGTTTAGTATCACCTGGTGAAGCTCTTTAGTGTAGACTTGTTGAGAGCTCTTAGTGAGCAGTGACATAGCCATTGTTTATGCCTAGTGATCATAGCAACTAGAATTATTGAATAGGTAGCTTGCAATCATCGTAGAGTTAGAGCAAAATTGTATTTTACTATTTAGTACACTAACCTCCTACTCTAGTGTATTTGTAGAAATTTTTATTGGATATCCACCCCCTCTAGCCATTTAGGACCTTTCAGCGGTCCGCGGTGCTGAGTGTACGAGTGGGGGCCAGGCCAACGGTGAGGATAGTGAGCGCCGCCGTGCGCGGAAGGCCGAGGCCGGAGGCGCGAGGCGTGGTGTAGCCACGAGCTCGGGGGAAACCTCTGGAAAGGCTGGTTACTGTGCCCATTTTAGACCGTCTGATCAAAATCGGATGAAAAAGGGCGACGTGGCCCAATGACGTGCTCGAGCTTGGCCCAGGATTCGAAAGGAAAAGATTAGCCATGTTATATATGAGAACGGATGTGAAGACAATGCTTATATAAAAGTCTTGTTTGGCAAAGCTCAACTTCAGTAGTGGAACAATTTTTTTGCTTTAGCTCTACAAGTAGTTTTATCGGTAAATCTAAGTTATTTTAGTGAATTATTTAGCAAAACAACTTTACATGTAGAATTTATCAAAACATGCTTTCACAAAATACCATACATGACCCACAATTGTGAGGTAAAAATGTGAAAAGCTACTATTTTCATTTTTAGCTTCATCCCATCTCATTTTTATGTGAGAGCATAATTTAAGAAATTTTATTGGTGAAGCTATTTGTAAATAAAAATATTTGACAATAAATAGCATCAAACAATTTATGAACCTGGTGGTGAAGCTGTAGCGAACATGTCCTAAGTGAGACGAGCAATGTACTCCCTCAGTCTACAAAAGAATACGATTATGGTATTCATATCGGTCGATCAAGATCAAGTTTGACCATATTTATAGTAAATAGTACTCAATCCATTTTAAATTATAAGTTGCTTTAATTTTTTTGGTTCATCCATTTTACTATGTATATAGACATATTATTATGTCTAGATGCATAGTAAAATATATGTAAAAAATGTTAAAGTGATTTATAATTAATTTAGAACGAAGGGAGTATTAGCATTTATGCCTCGCAAATATTTTTATTATAAAAGTATATTCTATAACTAATCTAATGAGCTTATTTTATATCATGAATGTTTTATAAAGTTCAAACTGTCTAACTTCTCGAAATCCGAGAATTGTATTCTTTTGTGGATGGAGGGAGTAGCTCAGAGCCTCTTTGATCACTAGACTAAAATTTAGTCTTGGATAATAGGCTAAACATGAACTAATTAAAATTTTCTTTTTTTATGAGTTTTACTCATCAATTAGCCTATACTAGTTTTTGTTAAACCATAATTGGTTCATGTTTAGTCCATCAAAACCTTGTTTGTTTTGACCATGACGAATTCTTTTAAGAAATAAATAAATAAAAACTTATAAGCTTTGTTCCTTTCCCGCCATTGAAAACCGGAGCGCGGCGCTTCAATATGCGAAATGTTTGGTTGGTCGGAACTAACCAGGCTGGCAGGTGGGGCCAGCCCAACATGAGCTCACACCGGGCCCATTCCCAAATCCCCGCCCTCGGCCCATCTCTATTTTCTCCCAATCCCACCTTCTTCCCCCTTCCCGGCCGCCACCTCTCTCGTCTCCTCTTCCGTCTCCTCCGGCTTTCCCCCCCTTCGTTATATAAACCCTAGACTAAAACCCCCGAGTTCCGCTCGATCCCTCTCGCCACAACCACCGTGCCGCGCGATCCCATTTCGAAAGTAAAAGGAGGATCGCGCTCGTACTGAGCTCCTCGGAGCCCCAACCCTAGCGGCGCCGGCGGTTCAGATGGAGGCGCACGGCGACCAGCGGTGGCTGGTGGAGTGCCTGACGGCCACGCTCGACACCGCGCGCGACGTCCGCGCCTTCGCCGAGGAGTCGCTCCGCCAGGCCTCGCTTCTCCCTGGTTCGCCACCTCCCACCTTTCCCCCCCCTCTCTCGTCGACGATTGACTTGTAACTGAAGAATCGAGCAATTCAGCTTCACGCGTTGGCCAGAATCTGCTTTCTGCTCGAGTTTTTGGCCGCGCTCTAGTAACATTTCGGCTGTAGATACTTACGGGCGTGCAATTTACTAGTGAGAGCTGAGGGGTGAGCTGAGAGTTGATGGGACCGCCTAGGCGTGTGAGCAGTGACTTCAGGAATGATGATTATTTTATTGTTCAAGCCTGGTTTGCTGCCGTAGCATTGCCCTGTTCGGGAGTGCTGCACATTGGTGCAGCATTGCTCTGGTTGCTAAGGCTCTGATTGGGATTGCTTTGCTCTATATACAGTTATACACTCCTTCACAGGAACACAACTTCTGTATGTTTTAATATGATAATAGCTGTGCGAGAACGTCTCTATCCATGTACAAGTCTCTAGAGGCAAAATCATAACTAACTAATCCAGTTCACAGCGCAACTTGACAACAGGGAACCTGGCCCCACTGTACTGCATGGCAGCTTCATTGATGCTGCTTTACATTCTGTTTGAAGTGACACTCTTTCTAGCACTGAAAGTGTGATTGATCCGAGCACCATTATTACAGGACCTCGTGTTGTAGTTAACTGAGGTGGTAATAGAATTAGCATGCTGTTTCAACTAGTAACCATACTTAGCATTCACATCCACGTATTCAATTTTGATCTGTTGTTATATCTGTCAATTATGTGCCAATCAGGTTGAAACCTTTTTTTCTGTATTGTCTTTCTCAGGATATGGAGCTGCCCTTACAAAAGTCACAATCAACAAAGAGATCCCATTTGGTTTACGTCAGATATCCTTCCAGCCATTTATTTACATTGTTTTTTTATCAAAATGTTGTGTTCAATGCTGTATTATTTTCAGATTTCTTTTTTTCATGAGTTGGACTAGCTTTTGCTTTTTTTGTTGTTCCTTTACAACTTGCTACCTTGCTGCTGTCTTGCTAAAGCAGTTCATCAAGCAGCATTGGCAGGAAGATGAAGAGAATTTTGTGCCTCCTGTTGTTTCTGCTTCAGAAAAGGTACCAGCAAAATAGGACTCGAGTGAGAGTGTGCCCTTTGTTTCATTGCTTCCTTGGCTTGCCCAACAATATGGTAGCAATTGCCATTTTGTTCTTTAATAAAAAAATGATTTAAAAAGTTACAGGTTTGAAAAACTGCAAGAATGGGGAATGGTATCCACATTTTTGGAATAAATTTTTAAAAATGATGCAACCTAGACTCATCATTGTTTGTCCAACACCTCTTTAGTCTTTAGACTTTAGTCTGGGTTAGATCATTTGAGCTTCTGGGGAGAGAACTTCCATGGCTTGACTTAGAGGAAGCTCCAGGGGAGGCAGGCTGACTGGCGGTGGTGCCCTGTCTGGGGTTGGTACAGTGAGGTGGTAGGAACACTGCTGGCGGTGGGCCGCATCAGACAGCCAGATGGGCTTGCCAGAGGGCATGGAACGCACAATTTGCTGAGGGTGGGGGTGAGTGCTGTGGATTGTGGTGTTTATCTCGGGAAGCAGCAGCACACAGATGAATGAACATAGCTTGAAGTCATTTGATGCAAGATGGACAGCTGAGAGCGCCAACTGATGGAAAACAAAATCTCAATTGCCTGATATATAGCATTCCCCTTTTTTTCTAATGTGGGGACACTTCATTTTGATGTTTTATTCTTGGATTTTTTGAGAAGAGCAGGGAAATAAGTTTTGAACATAATAAAATAAAAAGATGTATGTACAGTGAGATTTTATGAGCCCAACCAGAGCCTGAAGGAAAAGAGAGGTGATGGCATCTAGGCTGTTCTATGTTGATTTCTTGAGCAATGTTTTTTCTTTATGTGAAGCAAGATTAAACTTGTTAGATTCCTTTCTGTCCATTTGTGAAGAGGATGTTTTCCTGTACATTCAAACAGACCAGAGGCCTTTATGATCTCGCTTGGGCATCTGTTATTGTAATTAATGCCATTGTTATGCTCATATGCTGTATGTATGTTACAAGAACAATAGACTACCACATGAATTCTTGAATTTTATGCTGTTAAATACTTGTATGTATCTAATTTACATTCCTCCCAATGCTGTTTTGCTTCAGGTGGTCATACGGCAGCTCCTGCTTACCTCATTGGATGATTCTAATGGGAAAATTCGCACTGCTATTAGCATGGCTGTAGCAGCTATTGGACAGCAAGATTGGCCTGAAGACTGGCCTGAGTTACTTCCAGTTCTCTTAAAGTTAATTGGCGATCAAAGCAATGGGAATGGAGGTAAATAACTTTTCTTGCTTTGTGGTATATTGACGTACAGATATGCAGCTGTTTTAGGGGTATATTAATGGTCCTGGAGCTTAAACTCGGTGCTGTCAATCTCCTAATAACGTAAGGTCCTCCAGTTGAGTTGTTTCTGTAATAATTCCTTGGACCAGAGTGCAAGATATCAAAGGAGTTCTCACTATCCAGGCCATAGTAGAATGCCTGCAAATTTGGGACTTTTGATGGTTTGATGCTGCAGCATGATGCCCCTGATAAGCTTGTCTAGAAACCCACAAGGTCGGGCTGCTACTCCTGTAAGTCAGCATACGACACATATTTCTTTGGATCAATCAAATTCGTGCCTTGGAAGCGAGTTCGGAAAAAGCTGGACACCACTGCAATGCAAGTTTTCCTTACGGTAGCTGTGAACAATCGATGTTTGATCGCCAACCGTCTTGCCAAATGGGGTCTGCCAGATCCTTGTGCCTGTGAGCCTGTCCCATATGTGACCAAGCCGATGAAATGATTCAGCATTTACTTGTCTCTTGCTTATTCGCTCAGAAAGTCTGGAAGCTCATATTTCAAAAGTTGGGCTTGGTTAATTTGTCTTCACCAAAATTCAGCAACCCGTTTTTCGAGTTGGTGGTGCCAAATCCTAAAGATCAGCGAGATGGCCTGAACTCCTTGATAATCCTTGTGGCTCGGGAGCTTTGGAAGCATCAGTGCTTCTTAAATGGAGTCAATCCTAATGTTCTGGTGGGTCCTTCAAGCAGTGGCAAATGAAAGTATCCTTTGGTACTCTGTGGGAGCCCATGTGCTCCAAGAGCTTCTCCTCGGTTGTTTACCCCGGATGCTTAGTCCATTTGTTGGTGTTTCTGGTCATGTTTGAAACTGTGTTTGGAGCACAGTTATCCCTATTCCCTCCTGAAAGGGGTTTGTGTGTGTTTTGGAGAGGGGTTGTTTAAATCCCTCCTTGGTGTACCTTAATTTCATTTTTTTTCCAACACGCAAGAGAGTTGTGCATCATTTCATTAAGGAAGAAAAGAGAGTATATGGGGAGAAGAGTCCCCAAACAAAACACACACACAAACCTACAGCCCACACCAGGGATGATCTGGTTGCTAGATGTCTTTGATGAGCAAAGGTTGTGATTGCAGCCATGAGTGCTACATTTTGCCATGGTGTTTCATGTGAAAGAGGAGGGGAGGAGCACTGAGGAAAAGGAGAGGAGCACCAAGGAATAAAAGAGGCAGAGGTAGGGTCTGTAAAACAGCAGACCTATGGTGATGCAAGGAAGGCTGGAACGATGGGAGTTATTTTGTTTGTGTGGACCGGTGTAGAGCTATTCTGGGAAGTGGGATTATTTGTTGACTTGGATCATCTGTGGCCGTGCTCTCAGAGTTGCTTGGGTTGCATAACAAGTTCATGTATGATTGATATTTCCTATTATGTTCACAGATAAATGGGCAAGTATCTGTGTCATCAGTCCATCCTGAGCAAGTTTCTTGAAGAACTTGACCTATTTGGACACCTCGTTTTTACTGACTGGTTTACTTGGTTTACTTCCTGATACCTTTGCTTTGGACATTAGTGCACCCCAAATCTGAATAGCTTCATCTTAGGATGGTCTCATGGTTCAAGCACTGTGTTTATAACTGCATACTCCCTCCGTCCCAAAATAAATCAATTTCTGGCTATGTATCTAGACAAGCACTTGTCTAGATACATAACCAGAAGTTGATTTATTTTGGGATGGAGGGAGTATATGATAATAATTATGATTGGATTTTTATACTAATGTCATTTCTTGAAGCAAGAATATGAGTTAAAGTAATTTCATGTTACAATCAAACTTTCTGTTTTGCAGTTCGTGGAGCATTAAGATGCCTAGCCCTTCTATCGGATGATCTAGATGATACTTGTGTTCCAAAGCTAGTGCCAGAGCTATTCCCATCACTGTATAGAATAATATCATCTCCTCATGTATGTTCAGATTAGTTCTTTTAGTATTTCTGTGTTCCTGTTGTCCATGTTTTCATGACAAATTGATAAGAAGACACTTTTCATTTGCTTTTGCCCATGAAAACAGCTGTATGAAAATTCTCTTCGCGCAAAGGCTTTTGCAATAGTCCATTCATGTATTTCCATGCTTGGATCAATGAGTGGTGTCTACAAGGTAGATTATCTGTTTGTTTACTATTGAGTTCCTTTTGCTGTTCTTCATTTTGTGGGAACTGATGAGATTTTTGATGCAGAGAGATACAGCTAGTTTGGTGTCTTCGATGCTTGATCCACTAATAGAGCAATTCTCCATAGTTCTAAATTCCCCAGTGCAGTCCCAAAATCCTGATGACTGGAGCATGCAGATGGAGGTATACACATAACCTATGTTGTATCTGAATGCATGCATCACTTATATTTAGTAGTGATTCTTATGTTTGTCGTATCCTCAGGTGCTCAAATGTTTACTTCAGCTTGTCCAGAACTTTCCTAGACTGCCTGAAGCTAAAATTTCTGGCAAGTATAGATACATCATATTTTAAGCATTAGCTTGATCTTAGACCTTTGAATTTCTGATAAAATGGAGAACTTGTGCAGCCATTCTTCCCGCACTGTGGCAGACATTTGTTTCGTCGTTCAAGACCTATCACCTGTCATACATTCAAGGTGCAGGAGATTTGGATTCTGTTAGTTATGATTCTGATGGCAGTGAAAGAAGTCTTGAGTCCTTCGAGATTCAGGTAATTCTTTCCTTCCCCTTTTACTGATATTTCTTTTCTATTTTTTTGTCCTTTTAACTTCTATACCTCACTCCATTTGCCACTATTTCTTTATGTTACTCAATTTTTTGCAGTTATTTGAGCTATGGACAACAATTGTGGGGAATTCTAGATTAGCAAAGGTTTGTCTTTTTAATGATTGTTTTGTGCATCATGTGTTTGTATTGATTTTCAATGTTGTTCCACTAGGTCATTGGGGGGAACATTAAGGAGCTAGCATACTATACTATAGCCTTGCAACAGATAACTGAAGAACAGGTATGAACTGGCTGAAACACTATAACTGTACACATGTGATGCTTCCTTTGTTCTTTTTGAATCATTGTTTGGACTTCTGCACTTAATTAAGGATAAACAGAAGTGAACCACATACACATTAAATTATATCTTCAGCAGCTATGTTTTGGTGTCCCCACTTAATTGGGGGAATTGTACAGTGCAGAGCACAGCCAACAAGTTAAGAGTTGATTTAGAGTTATGTTTCTTCTTGACATGCCATTTAAGAAAGCAAATGGAATATACTTCTTGCAAATAGTTTGTTTATTAGTCACTCTTCATGTTTCTTTTTTCTTTTTATTTGTTATCCATGTAATGGTTATGCATTGATGTTTTGTTTTTCTAGGTGCAAAGCTGGTCACGTGATGCTAACCAGTATGTAGCTGATGAGGATGACCTAACTTACAGCTGCCGTGTGTCTGGTACAAAGTGCAGTACTGATATATCTTTTTGTTTACTTGGTAGGCTTATTAAGAGCGCAATTCAGTTTACCAGTGTATTGCTTTTTCTCTAAGAACCATAAAATTGGCAGAACTGCAGAAGCTAGTATTAATGAACTAAATTTCTGCTACTACTGTTACTGACTGCCTTGAAACCTAAGTGTTCAAAGATGTCTTTCTTTGAGTTCTGCTTTTGTTTATAAGAGAGACCCTTGTAATCTACCCTTGAATTGGAACTTGTTAGTCGCTTGGTTGCAATACTTCCTCACTTCTTACTGGTTTTCAGGGTCTCTTTTGCTGGAAGAGATAGTAACGGCTTATGAAGATTATGGAATTGACTCAATTTTGGAAGCTTCACAAATGCGTTTTCATGAATCACGAGAATTGAAGGAAGCGGGTTCTGCTGACTGGTGGAGAGTGAGTTTTTTGGTTTTGGTTTTGTTTTTTTGGTTTTGTTTCATTGCTTATCATATTCATTGCTGTTGCTTTAAGTCTAAGTATTGTTTAGCATTAACCCATATTAAAACTTTAAATATTATGATTAGTATCACTCCAAACATTCTATTTGACTTTGCTGATATTATGTTCATTATGGTTTCTGGTCTGATATCTAATGCAACATTTTCTTTATGGCAGATGCATGAAGCGTCACTTTTTGCTCTAGGTTCACTGTCAGAACAGTTGTCTGAAGCACAGGTTGGTATATACTTGTTTTGAGATATATTTTCGACACAAAACAAAATAATGATGGCATGAATTTATTGACAAGAATTGGCTGATATAATTTGCCCATATATCATTAAGCAATGACAAAAATAACTTGATCTAACTGTTGACCCCATGTGCCTACTGTGGTGCTTTTTTGTTGACTAGGTGTAGTATTTGAACATGTGACTTTGAATGCGGAAAGCCTCATACTACTTGTTTAGCAGCCTTGATGTTGTGTTGCTGCAGTCTGCACAGCTGGGCACCTGGGACTCACCATGGTTCAACTTGCGATGCCCTTGTGAGAGATTCCCATTTCTGTGCATGAGCTAGTGATGGGATTGCTGGGTTTACAATGGATATGGTAGGGACTAAGGGAGTGGGGAATATATGTGTTTTTGAGATGGTTATATGACAGTTATGGATATGGGCCAGAGCTGGGAACCTGGGATCTCAGAGTATGAGTATGTAATGTTTTTTTGTTCTTTTGTTAGAAAACTCCAGCAGGGCCCTTAAACAGGCCCCTAAACTAAAATTTTAGGGCCCATGTTAAAAACACATGTCCAACATGGCTCTTATTTGAGCCCTCAAAATGAGCAGGCCCTCAAATCTACCTCCATGGCCCTCGTTCCTGCGGGCGTCTCCCCTGCCCCCCATACAGTAGTTGACAGGTTTCCACCCCACACGTGCACTTTTTCTCAGTTCTGGTGCCTGGACCGCGCCGCTGCCGCCGTCATCTGCTCATGTCCAAGTCCATCATTGCCCTTCCCCACCTCCAAAGACGCCTTGACCATCCTCCCCCACTCCCCCTCCCTGACTAGCCACGGTGGATCGGCGGCCTCTTCCTCGTCCAGGCTACCCTCCCCCTCCCTGATGAGCCATGATGGATCCTCGTCCTCCCTGACGAGACACAGCGGATCCTCGTCGTCCTCCTCCCGGCGTGGGACAGGTCCTGTCTGGGCTACCCTCGGCGGATCCTCGTCCTCCTCCTGGCAAGGGTAGTCTGTCTTGTCCGCATCTAGCTCAGTAGATAGGTAGATAGAGTGAGGAGGAAGAACAGGGAATGACGAGTGGGTCCTACATGTCAGTTTATATTGGAATGGATTTGAGGAGCGAGGAAGAACAGGGAATGACGAGTGTGTCCTATATGTCAGTTTCTATTGGAATGGATTTGAGGGCTCCTGTTGGAGCAGATCCAACAAAAAAAACAGGCCCTCAAAAGTAGGGGGAGCCCTCAAATCAAAAGTAGGGACCTCGATTTGAGGGCTCCTGCTGGAGTTGCTCTTAACATATGTCAAAAAAAGGGCAGACCCAGTGCCAGAGGCTCCCACATGAGTGGGGTCTGGGGAAGGGAAAAACCGAGGCAAGCCTTCCCCCCCAAAATCTGCGGAGAGGCTGCGTCGAACCCGCGACCTGGTGACTCAGTGAGACAGTTCTCACAACTGCACCAGGCCTGCCCTTCACTCTTAACATATGTCAATTATGTTATATTATCTCACATGGACGTTGCAGTTGGCAGATTTAACAGTTCATGCCAACTGCCCAAGTGCCCAACTCTCTGTCTGTAAAGCTGAAGGAATTGCCTGACAGTTAATCTTCAATAATGCAAGGTCTAATGATGTTTTTTTTTTTGTAAATGAAGCGGTGTATTACTCTAAGAGGCAAAGTAGAGAGTTGTTCTTTTGAAATGACTAAAACAAACTATGGAAGTTGTGCTCTTATTTATAATGTGCCTTTTGCTGTTTAGGATTCTGGTTTGACAAAATACAATGTGCGGGATTTACTTGAGCAAATGCTAATTGACATTATGGGAACAGGTATATTTCTCTACTCTGGGGTGGAGAATTCTTTGTGTGGCCTGTTTTATGACTAATCTTGTGATTTTTAGGGGTGCATCAGTACCCATTTCTCCATGCGCGTGCATTTTCTAACGTGGCTAAGTTTTCTTCAGTGGTAAGTTTCCTTTTTTAACAGCTTTTGTTTTCCTTTGTTTTTATCAAGCTTAATTCAAAAAACATGACAGATAAGTAAAGGGATCAGTGAACAATATCTATGCAATGCGGCTCATGCGATTGCCTCAGATGTGTAAGACCTATATTCTTGTCTTGTAATTTTCTTTCTAAATGCACAAGGAGAATGTTGCATTTATCTGTGAATTCTTTATGTCGCAGGCCGCCCCCAGTTAAAGTTGGTGCTTGTAGGGCACTAGCCCAGCTTTTACCAGAATCTAATGAGAATCTGATTCAGCCAAACATTATGGGCATACTCTCATCTCTTGTTGATCTTCTGCGGCAGGTAGTTATTGTTGTAAATATTGCCTTTCTTGACTTTTTTTGACTCAATGACATAACTAACGTGGAGTTTTAACAGGCATCTGATGAAACATTGCATCTTGTTCTAGAAACCCTGCAATCAGCAATCAAATCTGGTATGCCAGCATGTTTGTGTATCCACTTTGTAGCAAAAAGATGTTATATATACTGTATCGACACTAGAATTGTGTGCTGGTTTTTTCATCTGATAATGTAGGTGGAGAACAATCAACTTTAATTGAGCCTGTCATTTCCCCCATCATGCTGGATGTTTGGGCACAACACATTGCTGACCCGTTCATCAGCATTGATGCTGTCGAAGTGTTAGAGGTATGTTTTCGTCAGAACTGGAAAGCTCCAGTGCTGTACATATACTTAGTTTTTTTGAGAACCACTATGTACAGAATTCTTTTTTATTGCATTAGGGAGCTGACCAGAAGAATTGTTAGATGAATTAACGTTGATGTATATTTGGTAGTGATATACTTTTTTTCGAAGCACTTAATGCCATCGATGAGCATTTTAGTACGGCCTCAAAGCAAATCCTTTACTTTCATGATGTTTATGTGGTTTGTTTCTCTATGCAGTGTTTTATGTCATTCTATAACATTTCCCTGTGCACCTGTTATCATTTGTTAGCATAAAGCAAGTTTTTTTTTCCCTGGCTTTTGAGCTCCTTAAAGTTACATTTAACATAATTCCTTAGTTTTTAGGCCATCAAGAATGCTCCTGGATGCTTACAGCCGCTTGTGTCTCGAATCCTCCCAACAATTGGATCCATTTTAGCGAAAGTAAGATGCCAATGCCAGTTTACACATCACTGCCATTGTTCTTTCTTTCTGCGTCTGCCAACATTATGAAATTTTAATTTCTGGTTGATTTGCTCTTTGCTAGCCCAAGGTCCAGCCAGATGGACTGGTTGCAGGTTCACTGGACCTTTTGACGATGGTACTCAAAGTATGTCGTGTATATCTCGGAAGTTCTATGAAGTTAAATGCAAAACATTTCTTTTAAAGTGGTTATTTCTAATGCTGCTCTGCATATTTCAGAATGCTCCAGCTGCTGTGGTTAAAGCAGTCTTCGATACATGCTTTGTTTCTACTGTTCAAATCGTTCTTGAAAGTGATGACCATGGAGAGATGCAGGTACATGCTAAAACACGGTTCATTTGCACATTCGGGTTATCCATCTGTATCACAATAGTTGTCTGGTCCACATATGCACGAGGCATATTATTGAGTAATATTTAAAATAATTGCACTGAACTTGTACTTATCAGCTAAGATTACTTGTATGCATATATCTATAAGGTCAAGAATGATCTAATTCCGTAAAGTTTTACTCAGCTGTTGCCTCTAGCCTCTAGGTGTATGTACCAGATGAAAATTGTGAAACAGAGGTTGTTGCTAACCTACTTTGTTTTGAAATGTATCCCTAATAGTAGCTATTCTCAACTAGAATGCGACAGAATGCTTGGCAGCATTCATATCAGGTGGCCGGCAGGAGTTGCTTGTCTGGGGTGGTGAACAAGGACACACACTCAAGATGCTACTTGATGCAGCTTCAAGGTAATGTCAGAATCAGTCTTATAGATACCACAGTACCTCCAATCCTAGATGACCATCTTAGTGACCTGAGAAATATCCAAAAGCAACACAATGCTGGACCCATCTTGATTTGATGCTGGGAACTCTTATTTGTTTCCTCTGCAGTGTAAATCTAATTGCAACAGCAAACTATATTTTTGAAATGGGATTTTCTGTTGAAATTGAACCATAATGCTTTGTGGTGGATTAAAAGATCCACCAGAATCTGCACATTCTCTATGCCTTCTGTTGTTTAAATACTCCTTCCATTCCAAATTGTAACTCGTTCTGGCTTTTCTAGGTACATAGATTTTGCTACACCTAGTAAAGCTATGTATATATTGAAAAGCCAGAGCAACTTACAATTTGGAATGGAGGGAGTACATTTCTTCTATACAATGGACCAGCCTACACCTTATCCAGATGTTCTAAGTTTTTTTTTTCTGTTTACTGCTTTCATGGTTCTTAATGGTTGTGCAGGCTTTTAGATCCAGCGTTAGAAAGTTCAGTATCACTCTTTGTTGGAAGTTTTGTCTTACAACTCATTTTACAAATACCTCTACACCTGTCTCCCCACATACCGGATCTTATTGCTGCTATTGTGAGACGTATGCAAACAAGCAGCATCACAGGATTGAAAAGCTCGCTTATTGTTATAATAGCCAGATTAGTAAGTCTCTCTCTCTCTCATACATAAGGTGTGTTAACTGTTAACTCTCTGGCATTTGTGGTGAAAGATTACTCTAATTACTCAAGCTTGTCCAAGATGTGTCCTCAGTTCACTCTGCCTGCAGGTACATATGAGTGCACCAAATGTTGATGGGTTCATCAATCTATTGCTTTCTATCCCGGCACAGGGGTATGACAATTCACTTGTTTATATTATGTCAGAATGGTCACAACTACAAGGCAAGTGTTGACAGGATCATATCATCATATATTGAATTCTGAAATCAATTTGCCTTCTCACCTGTTTCACTGAATATGCTTCCATGTTAAATATCCTTTATAGGTGAAATTCAGGGAGCCTACCAGATAAAGGTAACAACAACTGCATTAGCTCTTCTCATATCAACTCGTCATCCTGAGCTATCCAAGGTTGAAGTTCAAGGGCATCTTATTAAGGTACTGTTGGTAAGAATTGGTGTTCTACAGCTAGTACCTTGCCTGATAAAAGTTCATTCGGAGCCTGACCCAGAAACATGCAGACTAGTGCAGGTATAACGACACGTTCAAGAGCTCGAGTGACTCCTGATCAATGGACCAAGATTCCACTCCCAGCTAAGGTAACAGTTGATTATTCACATTTCCATTCCTGTCAATGTTTCTGTTGCCCAGACTAAGAAATTGGATCTCAGATTTGGTAGAAAGCCCAGAGGGCAGCTTGGCCACTAGGCCGCTTGGATTGAAATGAAGTTGCAATACAATGATACAAGATGGTCTGCCACTGCTTATATAGAGCAAAGTGGCTTTTGCTACCTCTACCTACTCTTAGCATATTCTGCTATGTAAAGCAGATGCCTTGATTCCTACTTGGAAGCCAAGGAACCTGAAAACTACATGACAGTGAATAGTAACTGCAGAAAAGTAAGATACAAGCAACTAGGCTTAACTATCAATCTCCCCCTAAGCCTAGTGCTGAGTGATCTGCTTCAAACCAATTGTCCTCATCTCCTGGAACTTGGCCTTGCCCAGTGACTTGGTGAGTATGTCTGCCAGCTGATAAGTAGTGGCGATGTGGTTGGCCTTGATGCTCCCTTCCTCCAAGCAATCCCTGGTGAAATGGTACTTGATCCGAATGTGCTTGCTCCTGTCATGGAAGACTGGGTTCTTGGCCAGAGTTAAAGCAGACTTGCTGTCCACCTTCAACTCCACCACATCAACCTTTCTGCCAAGAAGCTCCTCGAGCAACCTGGACAACCATAGAGCTTGTGTTGCTGCAGTGGTGGTGGCGATGTACTCTTCCTCGCAGCTTGACATCGCCACAACCTTCTGCTTGATGGACTGCCAGCTGACCAAGCAGTCACCCAGGAAGAACATGGTTCCACCGGTGCTCTTGTTTGTGTCGATGTCGCCGGCAAGGTCACTGTCGCAGTAGCCAATGAAGCGCGTCGTGCCAGGAGCCCTCTTGTAGTGCAGATTGTAGTCCAGGGTCCCGGCCACGTAGCGAAGAACGCGCTTCACCGCCTGTAGATGCTCCACCGTGGGCCGTTCCATGAACCGGCTCACGTAGCCGACTGCGAACGCCAAGTCCGGTCGGGTATGCACCAGGTACCGGAGACTGCCGACAAGTTGCCGGTAGTGCGTGGAGTCCACCTCCGCAGTGCTCTCTCGACTGAGCCGCAGCTTCTCCATTGGCGTGTGGGCGGGGTTTTAGCCAACCATCTCACCAAGCTCGAGGATCCGCTTGGCGTAGTGAGCCTGACGGAGGGTGATGCCACTGGCATCCTGGCGCACCTCGACGCCGAGGTAGAAGCAGAGGAGGCTGAGGTCGCTCATGTCGAACTTGTTCTTCATCTGCGCCTTGAACTTCTTCACTTCTTCCTCGGCGCCGGTGATGATGAGGTCGTCGACATAGATGTCGACGAGTAGGACAGTGCGCCCACTGCCCCGCCGGTACACCGCCGCCTCGCGCTCTGGTGGAAGCCCATCTCCTTGAGTGTGGCGTCCAACTTTGCGTTCCAGGCGCGCGGTGCCTGCCGTAGGCCATAAAGGGCTTTGCGTAGGTGGTACACCTTGTCCTCCTTCCCGGCGACGGCAAAGCCAGGCGGCTAACGCACGTACACCTCTTCCTTGAGGTCGCCGTTGAGGAACGCGGACTTCACGTCCATGTGGTGCACTCGCCATCCTTTTTGAGCCGCCAGCGCGAGGAAGACGCGGACCGACTCCATGCGTGCCACGGGGGCGAACGCATTGTCGTAGTCGACGCCCACTTGTTGGACGAAACCTCGTGCCACCAGCCGCGCCTTGTGCTTGGTCACCACCCCCTTCTCGTCCTTCTTCAGCTTGAAGACCCATTTGAGGGTGATCGGGCGGTGATCGGCAGGCAGATCAACGAGCTCCCAGGTCTTGTTCTTCTCCACAGCCTGGAGCTCCTGCTTCATGGCGGCGTCCCAAGCTGGATCACCTTGTGCTTCAGCGTAGTTGGTTGGCTTGCCGGCTTGAGTCAAGTGCAGCTGGGCGAAGAGACGCGGCGCCAGCCCTGGTGGACACTCATCGCCGATGATGTTCGTCACCGCAGTAGCAGAGGGGTTCGTCTTCGTAGAACGCGTCCAAACGATCCTCGACATCCTCCAGCGGCGTGGCGAGCTCGACGGTGGGCTGATCAGCGGGCTGCGGTGTGGCAGTAAGGGAAGACGATGATGTCGCGGCTGATGGCGCCATTGGTGAGGCCGGTGGAGGAGTGCCAGCTGCCGCCACCGTGTTCCCGGGCTTCCCCGGAGCCGGTGATGTTGAGCGCGGCGAAGCAGAGGCCGAAACAGGGGATGTCGACGAAGATGCGCCTCGCGCTCCTCCTGCCCCTCCGCTCCTTAGGTACTCGACGGTGAACTCTTCCACCGTCGACGCCGAGCTTTCTCCCACCTTGGTCCAATCCTAGCCGTGGCTCGTCGAAGACGACGTCGAGGTCACCTGCAAGCGCTGGGTCTCGGCGCCGTCGGCGTATCCGATGAAGACGCCAGGCTGGCTGCGATCATCCATCTTCTTCACTTGGTTCAGCTCCTTGGTGAAGGCGAGGCAGCCGAATGTGTGCAGGTCACCAACCGCCGGCGCTCTTTTATGCCAGGCTTCATAGGGAGTCTTGCTCAACAAGCTCTTCGTGGGCGACCGGTTCAGCAAGTGGACCTCGGTCACCACGGCCTCTCAGAACCTGGCTGGCATACCTCGCTGCTTTAGCAGTGCACGAGCCATGACCACCACTGTCTGGTTCCTCCTTTCCACGACCCCATTCTGCTGCGGCGTGTAAGGGGCGCTGTAGTGGCGCTAGATGCCTTCATCCGCGCAATAGACGACGAACTCCGCGGCGGTGAACTCCCGACCGTTGTCGGTGCTAAGCACCCGGAGCTTGCGCCCGCTCCCCTTCTCGGCCACAGCTTGGAGGTGCTTGATGGCGATCGCAGCCGCGTCCTTGGTCGTCAGGAGGGCCACCCACATGTACCGTGTGGCGTCGTCCACCAGCAGCAGGAAGTAGCGTCTGCCGCCGGGAGTCGCCGTCATCACGGGGCCGCAGAGATCGCCATGGACAAGCTCGAGCAACTCTTGCGCACGGTACTGGGCTTCAGCCGGGAACGGAGCCCTCTGCTTGGTGACGACGCAGGTGTCGCAGAACTGCCCGACATGCTTGATTGCCGGCAGCCCGCGCACCATGTCGTCCTTGGCGAGCTTGTGGAGCACGTCGAAGTGGAGGTGGCCGTAGCGTTCATGCCAGCGCCACGCTTCGTCATCCTTGCGCGCGGCGAGGCAGAGCGGCTTAGCCTTCTCGAGGTGGAGGACGTAGAGGCGATTGGCGCCGCGCTGGACTTTGACGAGAAGCCGGCCGCGCTGGTCCCAAATCCTCAGCACACTTCGATCAATCTCCACCTTTGAGCCGCCTTCATCCAATTGGTCGAGGCTCATGATGGAGTTGCGGAGCGCCGGGATGTAGTGGACGCCGTGAAGCACCTGGTGCTCGCCGGTCTTCGTCTCGAAGATGATGGAGCCGACATGGATCTCCACCTTCGACTCGTCGCCGAACTTCACCATGCCTCTGGTAGAGCAGTGGAGGTTGGTGAACAGCTCGCGACGTCTGGTCATGTGGTGGGTCGCACCGCTGTCGAGGTACCAGCCGTCGAGTTTGTCGCCGCCGGAACCGGTGTTGAGGAAGACACGGGCTCGCGGCTCCTCAAAGTCGAGGTCGACGGCGGACTCAGTGCAGAAGGTCGAAGCTTGAGCCTTGCAGTTGCTCCCTTCCGCATCCAGCTCCAGGAACCCATGCGCGAGAAACAGAGCAACGTCTTCCTCTGCTTCTGCGACGTTCGCCACGCTCACGCTCGCGCTCGCGCCGGGGATGAGGGCAGTCCTTGGCCCAGTGTCCAGCACGGTTGCAGTTGAGGCAGGTGTCGTCGTGGTTCGCCTTGCGTTCGCCGCCGCCGGCGCCTACCTTGTCCGCTTGTCCGCCGCCGCCGTCGCGATCACCCTTGGGCTTTCCTCTTGCCCCCACGGGGACGTCGCCGACGATCCTTGGACGATCCAGCGCCCTCCTTCTCGAAGGCGCGCCACTGCTCGGCCGTGTACAACAGCTTGCCTCCGACGGTGGCCGGCTCGGGATCTGGCGCCTGCTCATGGTCTTCCACCGCTTTGAGCTGCCCAGTGACATCCTCGACGGTGAGCTGCTCGAAATCGAGGAGCGTCTCGATCGAATTGACGATCTGCACGTACCTCTTCGGCATGTAGCGGAGGAACTTCTCCACCGCGCGCTCCTCTGTCAAGTCGGTGTCGCCGTTGCGTGCCATCTGCTCCATCAGATTGGTCAGCTGCACGGCCAAGTCCTCGACTTGTTCCCCGGGCTGAAAGGCGAGGGCTTCCCACTCTCCTCGGAGCTGCTGCAGCGTCGCCCGGCATACGCCATCTCCTCCAACGCGCGCCGCGGCGATTGCGTCCCACGCCAGCTTCGCAGTGGCCTTGTTGGCGATGGAGGCGCCGAGCTCGGTGGGGACGGCGGCGCACAGAGCCTCCAAGGCCCGGCGATCGTCGTCGTAGTGGATGCCGCCGACGTGAACCGCCTCCCCGCCGCGAGCCTGCAGCTTGACCTTCATCAGCAAGCTCCACTCATGGTAGTTGCTCTTGGTGAGCATTGGCCATGGCGTTCCTGCCCAGGAGTCGCGGTAGATGGTCTGCCGCACCGGCGAACGCCCGCGACGGCCACGCCGCCGCTATGGTGACGGCGACTGGCGGCGGCGTGGGCTGCGTGATCCTCCTCCTGCTAGCTCCGCGTCCTCCTGCTCCATCTCCGCGCGAAGCGCTGCAGCGGCAGCCACCGCAGCCTGAGCTGCAGCCGCTGCCTGCCGGGCTGTCTCGGCCGCCGTCGCAGCCGCTGCCTCTGCGGCAGCAAGGTGGGTCGCGAGGTCGCCGGCTCCAGCGCCTGCTGCGCCGCCCCGAGGGTTGATCACTGCTCCTCCTCTGACGGCGGCGCGCGCTCTGGCGATTTGGCTCTCGGTGGACATGGCTCACTCACTAGAACCCTAGGCTCTTGATACCAATTGTTGCCCAGACATAAGAAATTGGATCTCAGATTTGGTAGAAAGCCCAG